GTGGTATTGACCGCACATTATAACGCTCCACGGCTGAAAGGGCGAGCATGTTTGGTGTGACGGGGATTCGAACCCGCGACCCGCAGATTGCGAGTCGAGTGCCCTAATCACCTGGCCATGCCGGGCCCATTCGAATTGTTAAAAAGAAAACTAAAATAAAAAACAATATATAGAAAGTTGAGACTTCAACCAAAAAAAAAATTGTTGGAAACTTGTGTGACAACTGCAAAAGTAAGATAAAATGTAACTTTTATTGTATCATTACTCAGATCCGGTGTCACGGTGATATAAAATGCCCCGAAGGATGGTTCTGTGATCACCACAAAGGTTACTGCGACACCTATCGAGAAGCAAAGGAACCATGCGAAAACGATTATCAATGTCATAGCAATCTCATCTGCATTCGTGGAAAATGTGCTCGGCCATATGAACCTAGACATAAAGGTTAGTATGTGCTTTTATTACAAATTACTCTAATTATTATTTTTATCTGAACGTAATTTTTAATATCCATATTTTTCATTTAATCAACTGCGCCAATTCTCAGCGGACAAAGGTAATTAACATTGTCAATTCAATTGTTAAGTATTTTGCAAATTCATTAGTTTTTAACATTTTATCTTATATTTATAGTAGTAAGTTAATTAAAGTCCAAGTTTCTTGTTATAAAGATCACATAAGATTATTCTTACGAATTGATTAACAGTAATTTTTATGTCATTAAGATTGCTATTTATTACCTACTCCCATTATCTTGTTAGACAAAAACAGTATATAATTTTTTACAAAGAACCTTTCTTTACGTTTTTATGCTAATGTCTTAAAACTTTTTTGTGCAAAGATGGAGCTTGAGTATTGTTTCTCGACAGAATTCGAACACGTGAAATGTCTGCCATTACGGAATGCTCCTGAAAGTTGAACAGTAAAAGTAAATTTTCCAGGTAGCGCTTTCGTGAATACTAGGCCTTTAGAGTTGAAACGTGGTTTACAACATATCCTACATTATGTGATGTAGTATCATTCTTTATAAAAATCAAAAAGTAGCTAACTTTTTTATTTCCTTTTTGTACATAAGTTGTAAGCAGTTTGTGATAATTGCTTGTAAATTATGACCAATTCACATAATTTCACGAATATGTCTATCTTCCTCCAGAGGATACATAACAAACATTCGTCTGACATATATAATTTTACATATTTCGTAGGTCGATTTTTTCCATTTTTATCACATAAAATAATTTATCTCATGATTTGTTTTTGCTAAAATTATAATAAATAATTAATTAAAAACAACGTTTTATACTTCCACAACTTTTATTGTGTAAATATAAAACGTTGTTTTTAATTAATTATTTATTATAATTTTAGCAAAAACAAATCAT